AACAGCTTTACCTTGTTTTCCGCAGCTAAAAATAAATTGCTATTAGTACTCGAGGAATAGATGAAAATAAATGCAATGTATTCCTACTCTTCTGCACCTGAAGGCACATCTCTTCATATCGCTGGGAAAGCGGTGATATTTTCCAGTCCAGTATAGTTGCCATTAGCATGTTTTGCTCAAGGGCTACACTAACCGCGTCGGTTTCCTCATAGGCAAATCCATCGGCTGTCTTGAGTCGTAGGAGAGGTGTTAAGCCGGTCAGCCTGCGAATTATTATTGATATCAACTTGGATAAGACGACGTGTATGTAATACTAACTTGTTATAACGCCTTCCTGCTTCCTCGGCTAGCCAACGAATGTTAATATCCTGCAGTTTTTTCCGTTCGATAGGCACTAGTAACAACTCATCCTGGATTTTGACTTTGAATGACACAGTTGTGGCTATAACGGGAGTAGTTTGCACCTTAATAGGCGATGATTTGGCCGGAGAGATGAGCACTTGAATGGTGCTCGTGGTGGAATCGGGTTCAATGGTGCGCACGCTGAACATCGAGGTGGTGCCATCCTGCGAGGACTCACTGCCCAAAGGACTTTCGCTCCGGAAGCGACTGAAACCACTGTCTAATAGAGTGACTTGATGCTTTTTCCTACTAGGCGCAGCCGAACTGCTATGGTTGCTGCTTATGCTGGATGAGCGGGATAGTGTAAGTTTACGCATTTGTTTCTGACGCTGCGAGTACTCGTTCTCCGGAGTGGCCTGCAGCAGATCCTCGTCCCAGTTGGCCGGCAAAGACAAGGCAGTGTCTTGAAAATTCTCTTTAGAGGTGCGCCCACATAAATCTCCAGAGTTAATCCGCTTGCGTTTGCGTTCCGGGCCCACATCATCAATTAGCCAGTTATCCGCATCCACCTCATCTTCCCTTAGGAAAGCATTACGTTTGTGCTTGATTAAAGCGCTTGTGCTGGGAGGATCATCGTTAAGGCGGTTGGGTCTTTTTAGCTGCGCCATAACACTTCGGTATTCTTTGCTGGCACTTGGTTGGGTTGAGCTGCTTGATTTCTTAGCTGCATACTCACTTCCTGAACGGTTGTGACTTAAAGATCTTCTATTGCTCTCGTGAAGAGCCTCTTCTTCGTCCTCTTCCTCTGAAAGGCTACCACGCTCTTCACTGCTTATTCTTTTTGCATTGGCATTGGTTAGAGGACGGGCATTTTTATCACTACAGATGCCCACCTTGGAAAGCGTGCGGAGTAGTCGCTCTCGTAGTTGGGCATACTGTGCCTGTTCGCCATCCACCAGCTGCGCTCCCTGCCGCCACTTGTCCAGCCCAGCAATGCAGGTCTCATTGTAGTCTGTTCGTACAGTGGCATCCGCTCCGCGGTCCAGCAGGAGTTCGGCCACATCCAAAAAACCATTGGAGCAGGCGTCGAAAAGAGGTGTAATTCCGTCGCAACTGGTTCCGCCCTTGTCGTTAATGGCAGATGCGGCTCCCTTGTCCAATAGCAGCTCCACAATCTCCCGGTAACCATGGTTGCATGCCTCGTGCAATGGAAGCCATCCAGCGTGATCTCGCACATTGACTGTGTGTCCCTGGTCGATTAGACGTCTCACCAGTTCCAGATTACCCGATATACACGCCTGATGCAGCTGTGTCTCGCCCTTGTTGTTCTTCTTAATGACAAGGGTTCTATTACCGCGTGTGGTTCTCTGTGGACGTGGTTTCTCAGTCTCATCCAGATCACTGGCATCGGAGTCGGTGAGGGTGGCCAGGTCGAAATCGTCGTCCCAGTCGGGAGTGTTTTGCTGCACAGCAGTCCCTCCGCCGTCGGAGTCTTCATCATCGTCGCCCACGCTTTCTTCCTGATCCAAATCAATGCCTTTGGCTGTAGCATCCGCCTCCAGATTTTCAACAAGAACTTGCATATTATGCTTCAGCATTAGCCGCCTCAATCTCACCATAGCAATCTTTACCAGCTTATCAGTGGAGCTCCCAGCCTTATCGGCTTGCCGCAGAGCCTTTTGGTAAACATCGTGAACCGTCCAAAAAGGATGGGCCTGTTGCTCGCATATCTCGGCAATCGTGCAGAGGGTGGTGAACGCCTCGGAAGGAGTGTCCTGGTTTAACTCAAACTCTTTCCACAGGTACTCCAAGGCCTTGTCAAACTGTCCATTATCTCGATACGTCTGATAGAGACTTACATAGATGGGCACCAGGCTTTTGCCACTTTCATGATTGAATTCAGCGTTTTCCAACATTTTTTGGTAATAGGTCAGAGCTTTCTCGTAGTTCATCAGATGGCAGCAACCGTCGCCCAGTTTCTCGTACAGGCTCTTCAACTTGGCGTAGTCTACGGAACTGGTAAGGACCAGTTCATCTAGGGTCTGGCAGACCTTGACCACGATCCTTAGCTGCTTCTCAATATTCCCGCGATCGTTCTCATCCGGCGTGTTTTTCTTGTAAGCTTTGGTGAGTATTTGCTTGGCGCTGGCAAAGTCCCCCGCCTTGATAAGAATCTCTGCTTTGGTGATCAGCGTCTCGCAGATTTTCTTAACCTTGTTGGGCAAGCGCTTTGCCACCTCCAAAGCCATATTGCAAAATCGAAGCGCCGCCGTTGCGTCGTTCTTTTTGCAATTGTAGAGCAAGCTCATCGAAATGTAGCACAAATGGGTCAGGTCCCACAACTCATGCGTTTTGCTGATCTTTATGGCTTTGTCGATGTAGTCAATGGACTCTTGAAAATCTTCCATGTGCTCCTTCACCACGCCGATGTTCAGGTAGCAGCGAGCTTGCATATCCAGTTGCTCCAGCTTCGAAATCTGACCTGAAAGTCTATAAAATTGTGTTATGCAAGCCTATCTCTGCGGCATAATAATGGCAACCTACTCTTTGATTAGCAGGAGGCTGCGCAGGAAGTTCTTCTCGGCCAGTTTAAGTTGCTCCATTGATCCGGAAGCGGAACTGTCCGCCAGGCTCTGCCCGTGGAGTAGGTGCACACGTCCCAAAGTGGCATAGGCTCGCTGCTCCTCCACCTGGTTTTTCAAGCGCTTGGCAATCTCTGGGAATACGGAAACGAGTGATATACAAGGGGCTTCTTTCTTGTGATACCAAGAACTCACTCAGGTAATCATTGATGTGATCCCTTGCTGCATCGTAGTCGCACAGCAGGGTGTACATCTCGCCCACCATCCTCTTGGCCTTGGCCGTCTCCAGCTCTCTGCCCATGGAGGCGTATATCTGCGCCTCCTGGACATATTCCCTGACCGCATCGGTGTATTTGCCCTGCTGATTGTAGAAGTCGCCCAGCTGGTGGCAACTGACTGCCACCTGATCTCGATTGCCATCGCTGCGCGCCTTTTCCTTGCGCTTCAGATAGCGCTTCTCTTCCATTAAACAGCACAAACAAAAAGGGACGAGGGCAAGGATAAACAATATATTTCACAACATTCCAAACAGTTTATTTTGCAATCGGCGGGAACTAGAGCTGGTAAAATAGTTAATACCAATGCGATACTATCGGTAACCGAGTGATCGATAAGGCCAGCGATTCGATAAACAGAATATGCCACAAATTTTCAAAATAATGCCAACAAATTTAAGCACCGAATTTGCAGATCTAGTGCCTATATTCCATGATATGTCCCCATATTTACAATTTTCTTATAACAATTTTTTTCTGTGTTTTTCCAACAAAACTTAGTGCGTAAATTCGCATGATAATCTCATTCATACATACTTACATGTACATACATATTTGTTTGGCTTGGATTGGCTCGTTAATTCTTATGGGACCGCTTTAAATGACGGGAGGTACCGCGTATATTTGGCTTTGCTGCATATGGCTGGCATATGCTTTTATGCTTTTTTTGTGAGTAGTATCGTTTCGGCTGTCAGTTTGGAATGTACCCGTGGCGGAACACGAGGCAAATACAATTCAGAATTGTAAGGCTAGAGTGATCAGATCAGAACGTAAGAAAAGCGTTCCTAGTTTTCCTTTATAAGATCTATAAGATCTTTATAAAATACTTGAAAGGTGTTTTTTTGGTATAAAGAAAACAAGTTTATCTGTGTGCGGTTAAATAAGAATGTCTAACATCACTAACTTACGTGAGCATTGCTCGTTAACTGACGTTAATGTTAACTAAATGTAAGGTAACATAATAACATTTGTAGTTTCCGTTACATTCAAAAATAATATGTTAGGTCAAAGACATTAGAATAACAAGAATATTCAAAACTTAAAATAGAATTCATTGCTTGTTGAGTGAAAATAGTAAGCAAGAAAGTGTATACGTATGCTGAAAGATCAATTTTCATCGAAGAAAATTTGATTAATGCATTTTGATAAATTTTGTTTTAATATAACCTAATAAAATATTATTCTAAAATTGAAGAAGTGTATACTATTTTTAAAAACATTTTAAAACAAGCACCTAAGGATCACTGCCTTTAAATATTGCTTCCACGTCGCCAGCTGATTTTTTGTTGATAAGCAAAATCATGCATTGGCATGAGGTTTGGTGATTGCGTTTAAAATATTATACATATTTGTTTTTACGGTTATATCGCTGAAATGTGAATTTCCCATTAATATAAAAAATTTGTGATTTTGATTATACTTTAAAAAACTATTTGGTTTTCCCATATGAATTTAATTGATATCAATTTAAAGCAATACAAATTCATTCTGCCATTAATTTGAATATACCAGAATTTACGTTTAATTTGGTAATATTCAAGTTGCTGTTGCTGTTCTTTCACAAATTTGGGAAAAAATTGAAAACACGAGTTCTTTGGCTTTGTTGCGTTGCCATCTCGATTTTGGTGCTAAAAAGATTCGGCTAAAACCGGGTAGTCGAGCCTTAATAAAAGCTGTTTAAGACCATGTTGTCAGCTTTGCCCACCAACCAGTCTCTGAAATTGAATTAATTTTCGTAAATTTCGCATTCGTATGGTTTTTATTTGTATTTTATTATCTAAATCCTATTTATAAGGCTTAAGGGGTAATAATGCATGAGTATTCTGTCATTATGTTTAGCATAGTGCTGTTTACATCGATCAATAGCGCATATTTACATTTTACTCGAAAGTGTCACACTAATGGAAATGCCATTAATTTTTGTTCCAATTTAGGTATACATCAAAGGCACTTTTTTGCCTACTTGTAGTGTTTCTTTTTTGACCAAATTCATAAGAGAGCACGGTTTTTTCACCTGTTTTAACCTTGTTTTCCTGATATTTTGCATAATATGGACTAATGGTAGTTGGATTTTGATTAACAGCTAATGTCGTGGAAGCATTTTGATTTTCGGCGGTTGTAGTTTTCTCAAACTGAGCCTTGAACTTCTTGAAAAACGGATGATCGAATGGATCCTTAGTGGTGACACTCTTCTTCGTTGTTGAGGTAAATAGGTATGGCCTTGGTGTGGTACTTTTTTGAGGAGTGGTCCTTGAACGGGTGTTTGTGGTTGAGGGTGTGGTTGGTTTATTTATGGATACATAGTGGTATGCGGACTTAGTTGTTGAAGGAGTGGTCGAAACCGTATGATTTGTTGGTAAATATATCGCTTCGTTTCGATTTGCGGTCGGCGTGATTACAGATTGGTGGGTTGTTGGAATTAATCGAGTGGTTGTAAGTGGTCGAATTGTTGTGAAGTACCGAGTAGTTTGGTGAGTAGTTCGACGAGTAGTTGGGCGAGTAGTTGGGCGAGTAGTTGGGCGAGTAGTTGGGCGAGTAGTTGGGCGAGTAGTTGGACGAGTAGTTGGGCGAGTAGTTGGGCGAGTAGGTGTATTAGTAGTTGGCCGACTAATTGGGTTAGTAGTTGTCCGAATAGTTGGGCGAGTCGTAGATATTGGTCGAGTTTTTGTTCGAGTTGAAAATACAGGGATAGTGCTGGAACGAGTTGTTGAGGTAATGACTCTAATGGTCGAACTAGTTGTTGGGGGAATGTTCAGGTAGGTCCCTGGTTGAAATGTTGTGCTAGCTGGCCCATTAGTTGAACGGGTCGTTGGACGAGTAGCTTGACGTGTAGTTTGGCGAGTAGTTGGTCCAGTAGTTGGAAGAGTAGTTCGATGAGTAGTTGCACTAGTAGTTGGTCGACTAATTGGATGAGTGGTTGCACTAGTAGTTGGGCGATTCGTAGATATTGGGCGAATTGTTGAACGAGTCGTAAATACATCGAATGTGCCGGAACGCGTTGTTGATGTAATAGCTCCAATTGTAGACGATCGAATGGTCGAACGCGTTGTTGGGGGAGTGTTTATGTAGGTCCCTTGTTGAGATGTTGTGCTATGTGCCCAGGTAGTTGCCCGAGTAGTTGCACGTGAACCTGCCGCAATGGTTGGACGAGTATTCGGCTTATTGGTTATCACCGATCGAGTGGTTGAGGTTGTATAGTGATTAACACTTTCTGTTATTGTAGGCTTAGCGGTTGTAGAAGTTTGCCATGACCATAACGGCAAGCTAGTTGTTTGGACCGTAGTTGAGACGGGTTTTCTTGTGCTCGCTGTCAGAGGTTTCCGTGTGGTTGTTGTTACAGATTTATTTGTAAAGCTTGCTGTTGTTGCTACCGCTGCAGAGGTGGCCGTAAATTTAATCACCTCATTGCGGAAGCTGTCGCTGCTGACGTAGGGTCTTTTGACCAGCTGAGTGGTCTTAGATGGGCTCGCAGGCTTGGGCTGGGGCTTGATGGGTGCTTGAGCAGGTATAATTGGTTTGCCCAGTAGACTGAGGAATGGGTTTTGGGCATAGGATATACTGTCATGAGGTTTGACTTCTTGTGAAGCATGTGGAGGTTTAACAGATGGCGTTACTGAACCAGGGACTTTCAGGAAGGGATTGTGTTCATAGTTCGGCTTTTGGGTAGAATAAACAGGTGCTCTTGTGGTGGGAGACGGTTTGTGCTGTTGACTATTGAAAAATGGATTGTTGGCATAGAGTTTATTTGTTTTTTGCTCCTTGGGAGCTGATACAGTGTTCGTTAGCTTATTGGCATTTAAGGTGGGCTGAGGTGTCTTGGCAGCTTGTAGGTTTTGCAAAAAGGGATTACCAGCATATTTCTGACTAGTTGCTATCTTGTGTTGTGGTTTCTGTGGCACAGACTGATTAGGCTGAGCCTGGGGCCTTTCACCATAATGACTGGCCTTATCCGCCTCTGAAATCTCATTTCCATCGAAGCAGTCACTCAATTGCGCCAAGTTTTGATTCCTGCAATGTCCATTGTAGACAGTCCAGGCATTGAAGCCATCTCCTGAGAGTCGTGTGTGTTCTTCGTGTATAGTGCGTATACACTGGACATCGTCGGATATATCTGAATCCAGCAAACGATCGCATTCAATGTGGCAGGCCTTACCACTGGTCTGATCGTGGGTACACCAGTAAATATCGCTGATTTGAAACAGGCCGTGATCCTCACTGCCATCTGAGTTCAGTTTTCCCACAGCTGCTGTATTAAAAGAGGATTCATGTTGGGCTATGCACACCCAAGTGGGAATCTCCCTCATGGGAAACTTATGTCTGTGGTACAGTTCCTTGGCCAGCTCACAGCGATCGTAGATTTTTGCCCTCGGAGGTGGAGATGTTTTCTTAACAAGCTCGTTACCCTTCGATGGTTTCGCGACTTCCGCTGGCAGGTCTTTGCCATCAAAGCAGCTAGCAATATCGGCTCTAGTTTTCTGCCGGCAGTGTCCATTGTAGACAGTCCAGGCGGTGAATCCATCTCCCGAAATTCTGGTGTGCTCCTCGTGGATGGTCCTCACGCACTTGACATCATCCGTGATGTCCGAGTCCAGCAGGCGATTGCAGTCGATGTGACATCCCTTGCCGCCACCATCATTGTGTGTGCACCAATAGAGATCGCTGATCTGGAAGAGCCCGTGATCCGCACTCCCATCCGCATTCAGACGACCCACAGCTGCCGTATTGAATGAGGATTCATGCTCGGCGATGCACACCCAGGTGGCCAAATCCTGCATGGGAAACTTGTGTGAGAAATACAACTCTTGGGCTAACTCGCAGCGATTGTAAACTTTACCCGTGCGTTGATAGTGTGTTTGAAAGTGTGTCTGATATTGGGGTTGATGATATTGTGTTTGCTGTTTGTAAATATAGAATGGGCTGGCAGGGGATTGGTTTTTAAGGGGTATGCCAATGGCATTGGGATGCTGCCTGGGCGGATTAACTGGGCGTGGTCGCAGAAACGGATTGCCCGAATAGGCAGCCACATTAGTTTGGTAACTCAAAACGGGCGTCGGCTGTGGCGGGCGATAATAGTGATTCACAACAGGAGGAACTGGCGTCTGATGCACTAGAACCTGGCCATATTGATAGGCATAGCTGACCTTGGGCTTCACGGGTCCTCCTCCAATGGCATTTGGATGATGCGGAGGTTGATGAGCCGGTGGCTTGCCGAAACAAGCTGCAATCTGTTCGTAGTGCTGGTTCAGGCAGTTCCTTTTGTACACAGTCCAGGCATTGAAGCCATCTCCCGAGATCTGAGTGTGCTCCTGGTGTATCCGTCGGATGCACTGCACATCATCGGCTATGCTGGCGTCCAGGAACTGATTGCAGGTGGCATGGCATCCCTTTCCAGCCCTCTGGTCATGGGTGCACCAGAAAAGATCGCTGATCTGGAACAGACCATGGTCCGCACTGCCATCCGCATTCAGGCGACCCACGGCAGCTGTGTTGAAGGAGGACTCATGCTGGGCAATGCAAACCCAGGTGGGAATCTGCGGCATGGGTAGCTTGTGTTGGTAATACAGTTCCTGGGCCAATTCGCAGCGACTGTAGATTTTTCCCTGCGGCTGGACTTGAGCCACCTGATGGTATTGCTGCACTGGATAGCTGTGGACCTGCACCTGTTGCGGTCTCTGGTAGGTCGCAGCTACCGCATGGGCGGTGCTGCCATGTCCTCCACATCCTGCCACATATGAATTGGCATCCTGCCGGCAGTAAGCGCCATAAGCCTGCCAGGCGGTGAATCCATCGCCACTGATCCTTTGATGCTCAGCATAGATCTTCCTCACACACAGGACATCGTCGGCAATGTCATCGTCCCGCAAACTCGAACAACTCAGGCCACAACCCTTTCCTTGACCCGGCGGCGAGCACCAGTAGACATCGCTGATCTGGAAAAGACCATGCGAACCACCGCCCAATCCTGCGCCACCGCCAATGGCGGCCGTATTGAAATCACTCGAATGCTGGGCAATGCACACCAAGGTGGCCACCTGGGCGGCAGGAAGACCAAAACGGTGCTGCAGCAAATTGGCCAACTCACAGCGATCAAAGATCTTGGCCGTGGCCAAAAGCGGGAGCAGCAGGCAAACCACTGGCCACCTCAACATCTCGATCTGTTCTGACACGCGAATCCGCGGCTATCACTCTTATATAGAACACAAAACACACGCAAAAAAGTGGACCAAGATCCTTAGGTCATTTGAAATTCAAATTATTACAGCGATTTTGTACGCGTGTATATGGGTTTTTATTTTCGCGATTTAAATTATTTTTCTTTTCTTTTTTTCGATTTCCAGCTGGCTGTGTGCGTTTGCACGTTTCGTTGACGACTGAAATCTCTGGCGGTCGCATCTTCAGCCCAAAGGTAATTTGAATATGACGACGGCGTCGACTGTCGACTGTCGAGCGAAACAAACTGGTTGTGGCTATTGCATAATTACTGCGGCGGTCACAGCAAAAAAAAAATTAACGTTCTCGGACACTCAGGAACCCAAAATATTGGAAGCGCGAAAAGACAACAAAATTATCGAATCAACCATAAAAATTTGTTAGAAAGTTCTGCAGTCGGCTGGGCTCCATTAGCTCCTCATTAATTCAAAATACCCGTATTTATGGGACGGCCGAGTGGCGAGTGGCGAGTCGCAAGCGTTTTTCACGCGTTTAAAGTCGCCTCGTAAGACTCAATCAAGAGATCGACAGGCACTATTTGCGGCTGTCAATCAATTCCCGAGATGGGGACCCCACCCCATAGATAGTGTCTCAATCGCATTGTAATGCAAACACCTTGGATCGTCTTTGTTTATCTGCCGAATGAAATATATTTGTTTGCATCCAAGTCGCTTTTTCGGAATTCGTTTTTAGTTTTTGCCTCCGTTGCCTAAGTTTTTGGTGCTTCTATGATAGCCAATTTGATGCAATATAAACGGTGTTTTAATTGCCGTTTTTTTGTGCAAATTGGTGGGCCCAAAAACAGTTGGCTGATTGATTAATACCCGGGTTCCCTTATTAACTGGTCTTGAACTTGAGTCATGGCCAAGAAGAAGGGAGGCGGATCGATCAAGGCATTGGCTATGCAAAGTGAATCTTGTGGTTAGCATTGATTTAGAAGTCCGAACAAATTAAATGGAATGTTTGAACATTTTTTTGAAATTAATTTTCTTTTGATAGCAGACATTGTGGTGCTGGGATATTCATGAGAAGTCCCTAATTAAAGCCACAAGTCATGTCTTCTAAGAATAATTAATCATGTTGAACAAATACCAACTTAAAAATAAATTTTTAAAATGCATTAGATTGTGATCATTGATTAGCTAAAATCATATGGAGCTCTAAATATTTGTTTTTAGGAATTTCCCAAATTTCAAATAAAACAACATATTCATTCATTCGTAGTAGTTTTTCTTGTTTTTTTTTTTTTTTAGTAATCGCTAAATCACAATACAATAGAATCACATTTATAAAATAAATTATATACAAATTCGTAGACAAAAACTTCTTGTGTTACATTCATAATCATAACACTAGCATAACAAATACATTTTTACATAACTCTCAATAACAAATACCGATTTATGATTAATATCTTACTTCACGGGTGGCTCCACGACACGCCCCCTTTGATAGATATAGTATATCAGGCACAGAACCGCCACCCCAATGCCCCCGCACAAGGTCGCCCAGTGGACAATATTGAGGGTTTTCAGTGTGTTGATCAGTTTCTTTTTGAAAAAGGCCACCATTTCACCATTAAGTTGAATGCCCTATGGATATATCAAATAAGCAATATTATGTATTGTTATGTTATACTGATGTGTGGGAATAACGAACCTCTTCCACCCAAATGGCGGGCATCAAAACGGTGGGCAAATTTTCCGTGATGCCGATGCGATTTATGCTCTTGAGGAACATATTGAACTGCACCCTTTTGCCGCCTTGCAAAGGCGTGCCAGTCAGCTAATGGAATTTATTATAGCTGTACGATTTTTCTATATCGAATTAATTCATATACTACTTACCGACTGCACATCCACAAAAGTCTGATGTTTTTTGGCATCTGGTTTTAAGCCTCTTATCATTTTTCGATACTCATTCGAGGCACCCAGCATGTGCGGCAATGTCAAAATCACAGGGGCATCTATATACAGATGGAACAATGAAAAATATATTACTTAAAATATACATTATTAAACAGAGTCCTTGATTTGCTTAACCAGCTCCTTGAAGCATCTCTCTGCATTCCAATTTAATTGTTCTGTTTACATTGTTGAAGTAACTCCGAAAGAAACTGGATAATGTGACCTCAAAAATACGCAGCTACTTATATTTAATTAAATTATATTAATTGGAAGCTACGTTTTCATAAGTTGCGGAAGTTTCTTAAACTCTCATCACGTTTTCGTAGAACATCATTTATTTATTTACTTAACTACTTGAGATGTCTGAACCAATTTCCTCATCCAAATATTTCAAATGCTCATTACCGAAACTGTTAAGTCACGTTTGAGCAATTAAACAAAAAAGAAATACGACGAGAGGAATCTCAAGTTTGAAACGTGCGCGATCGGCAAACACCCAAACAAAATCATATAATAACAAGCTTGCTATAGAATGCTATAGTCGAGTTTCCCGACTAACTGATACCCGTTACTCAGCTAGTGGAAGTACAAACGTGAAATTTCAAAATTTTCTGAAATATCGGTAAAAAGTGGGGGAAAAATAAAAAAAAAAAAAAAAATTTGTGCCTAGTCTCAACATTCTAGCTTTTGTAGTTCCTGAGATCAAGGCTTTCATACGGACAGACGGACATGGACGACTCAGCTATCGATCCTGATCAAGAATAGATATACTTTATTTATAGATATACTTAGTCGGAAACGTTTTCTTCTGCCTGTTAGATACTTTTCAGTGAATCTAGTATACCCGTTACTCGTAGAGTAAAAGGTAAAAAATCAAAGTTAATGCTTCAATTTGTAGAGCGTTCACAGCACTTGAGAACTTTATAATGAAGAACGACTCATTATATCACCTAGTTGAATGAAAGATAATACTTTTGATTTCAAATGCGCATTGCCTTCGGGGATTTTAAGTTCAGAATGCGAAGCAAAACGTTTTTGCCTCACGAACCTCGAGTGTTAATTAAGAAATTAAACAATCGAAGAAGATCAAAGCCAGCCCACACAGGTTCGACATCAAAATCGGTATGTGAGTCTAAGCTTAAATCAAAGTCGCAACGAAAAGCGTTTGCAATTTGTCGGCTAGAAGACAGCGCGTGTTTGTTGAGATCTCTGAAGATTTTTATATCTTTTAAGCCACGAATTTACATTTTATAAGCCGTGTTTTTTGATACCTTCAATTTGCACTTATCACTCTGCTGCTTTGCATATAAAACGCATTAAAATTCAAACTAGATCTGGCACCAACTCGAATGCCATGATAACTATTTGATTTATAAGTGGCTACCTTATAATTACGCAGATAAACGACTACAACTTGGTGACCAGAGGTGTCTTCTGGGGTAATTCTCCCCAGCAGATAATCGCCGTAATACAAACACAACGACTACTTAAAGAGGCTCATTTGCATGACAAAAAACGAAGATCAGAATTGTCCAATATTATTCCAAATATTTCCGGTTTCCCTGGGTCTTTCTTTTATTTTTAGTGGTGACCATTTGGCTGTCTGACTAGCAATGCTCCAGTTAATGATAAAGTTTATATAGAGTTGATCAAACAATCAAAGCGGTATGATTAAGGTCTCCACAAAATATAAGATAACAAACAGACTATCAGATTACTGCGCTATAAACATAAATAAAATGCAAATTAAATTATATCAGTATTATTCCAACCAAAACAAAATGATGATAGAATTAACACTCTAACAATCAGTTTTGGCAAGCGAAGTCAATGGGGAATTTTTTTGTAAGAACTGGGTGTAGGTCTTATTGATTTTTGCCTATTCATTCATATAAAGGGAATCCCCTACCTTGAGGAATTTAATTTTTCTGAGCTATATATTTCCATAAGAGGAAGGCAATAAATTTGCGAAAGTCAAAATACTTTATCATCCGCATTTCTAAGTAGATCGGCAACACATATGGCGTTAGATCTTCAAAAATTCAAATATTTTGATATGCAAATTTTGAATTTTCGTGAAATAACAAGAGGAACTGCGCATGCGCGGAAGACAAGTTAACAGAATTCTAAGCATAAATATTTGTGCTAACGCGACATATTTAAATTAAACTTTATGACGGCGCTTCACCCTTTTGGAATTATTATAAAAACAAACACGGAAACAATACTTGGTATCACCCCGAAGTTATTTGCTTAACTTATCGTTTGCTCATGCTTCCCTGATTTGCCATATTGTTTCTATAGTTGTGAATGAAATGAGTTTCGATCTGTGGAATGCATTATAGTAACTCACCCAAACAGGTGGTCAAATCCAAGGCGCCTGCATACAGACATCCGTTTTTCCTCTTGATCACATTCGCCAATTTGTCAACACAGAAGCACTCATTATCATGTTCCGGCCCAATGTCGTTGATGAAGTTCTCGCCGATGGAGTACCTATATCCTGGAATACCCTGGTACTGTATATCCGTTTGGTAGAACAACTGCACCGATCTGCATATATCCGCGCTGAAGATGTACATGGAATCTCCCCGTTGGCGAAATGGCGGATAGGCGGATGCATCGGTTCCATTGATCTGATTGCAAACTGAGGTTTCGCCCTCTGCACTGGCATTCAGCCACACCTGCAGGTTATGCGAGTCGTCCAGTTTTTGGATCTCCAATACCCTCATAGGATCTCCTTTGCCAGTATGCACTTCGTAAACCTCGTGGCCGGAACCATTTTTCTATTGGGCCAAAGTTGATATGAGGTTAATGGGTAATTCTGATACCTTTTGGCAGTAACACTTACGTGGCCGAAAAACGAGAATGCCAAGCTGCCATCGCTCTGCTCTCTGATAGTTTTTGATCCACTTTCCTTGATCTGGTTACAAATTGCCTTGGCGATGCCCTGCGGATTGATGCAGAACCGCACTCCATCGAAGAGGTATTCCCTTACAGAAGTGCTCACAAACATCGATCTGGGATCGTTGAAGACCGCCTTCAGATTGGCATTCAAATGGACCAGCAGTAAAGCCAAGCCGGGATCATTCTCAGAGATTTGGAGCACAGACTGAAATAATGATGTATATTTTTAATTAGGGATCGTAGATTAATAATAATTACCAGAGCTAAAGGGCAAGGCAAAAAAAGTTTAGTATTTAAAATGTATTTGCAAAGCATTAGCAGCAGGCGGAGCAGTTATCTATAAATTAGTAGCAAGCACAAGCTCAAATTTTAATATTATTAATTATGTTTTTGAGTTGAATATGTGTGACCATTGACGTTTCCAATCATTCGGTTTTCAGCTGCCGTTTCCATAGGCTTCTCCTTGCCACCCGCCAGTTCGACTCGACAATTCATCAAAATATTTACACAGACGTGGGAAACCCAAGGTGAGTGCCAATCATAATTTTGCTATTCTACATCGGATTTGTTGCTCTTGACTTTGGCATTTTGAAGTTTCAATATTGAGTAGGAGATGCGCCGAATTGCAATTAATGTAATTAAACGGTTGCGAAGCTGTCATGAAAGCTGAGAAGCTGGTCAACTTACTTTGACACCATCGAAAATGCTGATCATGATGCCATGTACCCAGCTAAAGGGCGCTATAAGTTCAAAGGTCATTAGATTCGGAATATTGGTGTCTATATCACATCTCATTTAATCAGAATCTCAGGTGCAACCCGCGTTCAATTTGGTGTAATAGCTTCTTATTTTATGGATATTTTAATTTTGTTTAATTGTCACCTAGACTCGATTCTAAGCTACAATTCAGTTGAGCTAATGCCTTAAAGAAAGTGTGCACAAGTGTTAGAGGGCTGTTTTAAACGTATTCAATTATGAGATATTGTACAAAATGCTCTCTTTTAATAATTCACATTTGTTTGCCATCATTTTATCAAGAAATTTCTAAATTTGAAAGCTCCCTAATAGATTTTGATTAAGACCCCGACCTTAGCCAAAAGTTAAATTGGCATAATTGGTGCAATAAAAAAATCATTGGCTTAATAGCTCAGAAGCCCACGATATCCAATGACGCACGGCTGGGGTAAAACCATTATTAATAAACAATAAACTGAAAACGGTAAATGAAAGGAATAATATATCGGTTGGAGTGGCAGGTCTAAAAGCAGAACAAAGACAAATAGCCAGCCGATGGTGTTGGTCTCGTCCATTGGAGAACCGTGAAAAGCCATTATCGTCAGTTAATAGTACCCATATAGTATCTACGTATATAGACAAAGCCAAATATGTTTGGGCTCTGTTGAAAAGTAGACCATCACCAGTTGGAAGGGGTTTCAGACTCGATTAAATTAGTAGTGGATAAAATTACTTTACGTTTCCCTCGAATTCGCTCCATCAATCGTTTCAGGACTCGTACGCCTGGCGTTTGATTCAATCGAGAGTTAAGCCTATTGGCAAATCCCTGAAAGATATCTGTGATTTCCCTTTCGAATACTTGTAAAAATGCCTGCAAATTCATTATTAAGATTTTAATTTCTCATCCGGTATTTTGATTCAAATAATTGGATTTTTCCATGCCAGTTTCTATACCTACATTCATGTGCATGTTGAGAGCCACGATTCGATCATTTTGGGTATAGGGAGCCGAGGCATCAGCATCGAAATCAAAGTGCACATTTTGCACATAGGATATTTTCGAGCCATCTCTCGAAAAGTGCTTCACTTTCTTCTGGCGGAACTGCCTATAAATTAATTAAAGGTTTATTCAATGATCTATAGTTATTGCTGCGTGATCTCACTTGTATACATAGGGTCCTATTTCCTCGACTATTGGTATGGCACCTTGTTGTATCCTATCCGAATTGGTCACATTGAATATGTAGACTTTGAAGTTCAATGGCTGAGGTAGGTTCACAAAACGTTTGAATTGTTCCGAGCCATCTTGTATGACGACGCTCTGCAAAGATAATAAATTCCAATTTATATTACTAATCCTAAGATATGGTTTGGTTGAGATTTGATAGTATTTTAATATTCATATTTATCAGACCATACTTTAATGCTGTTTATCACGCGACTTGGTTGCTTTTATATGACTTTTAATGGCGCCGTAGGGGCAATAAAAATCAAATCAAAAATGTTAGCATCGATATCAAACTGAAGTTAAGCTAAGCTGAAAACCTGTTTTCGATCGAAGAAAATATTTTTCTCCAAAATGCAATTCCTTTTGTTATTTATTTGCCTTAATAATTTGTTACAATTATCCACAAACGCAGGGGATCATTGACCAAGGGATTATTTGCATCGATTTCGCATTTTATCAAAACAATACAATTAATTAGGCGACGCTCCTGTGTTTTGTCCAAAAAACTCTTCCCATGCTGAAAAAAAAACCTTTGATATTAACCTTCCATTTTAATTTGTACAATCCGGTAGCCAGAGAAACATTCACAGTTCACAGAAAAACAAAATTGGCAAAACCTAAAGATGCCGACCGAAAAACATAAATAAAAGTGGAAAACAAGCTCAGGGCATGACCAGCAATATAATTTTATGGTCTGCCCCTTGGCACTTGATACAATTGAAGAATTGTCAAAAAAGGCTGAACAAAAATAGGGGGTACATACTTATATGGCAGATCTCAAGGTCAATGCACACGCAGGTTCAGCTCAGCATATCGAAGAGCATACAAAACGTTTGATTAACCTCAAGAGCCAAAGAGAGGCTCAGCCGACGGTTGACAATGGCCCAAAATTCATTCAGAAACAAATACAAATAATTGTTGCGAAATAGCGTGGATTTGGCAAAGAGACAGGCCGAAGCGAAACGTGTTTAAAATTCAAAACTCGCTTTCGATTGGCTGTGGGACAAGAATGTGCTGGGTCAAAGAGGCGTATGCGTAATTTCCAGGGCGTGTCAATTAAAACTAAACTTTTATTTAGCCCAAATAATAATTTTTAATTTCCAAATAAAATCCATAACACCCATAGTGTATTGCTCAAAATGTGGGTCAGAATGATGGAAAGAAATGGTAAAGAGCAGACATAAAAGCCTAAAGTGTTTGGCATTGCTGGCGGTCCAAATTGCACAACAACATTTTTGTGTCGACCATCGAACAGACTTCAATTGCTTTGAATTTCAATTTCAATTTCAATTTCAATTCATGACTCGTTTGTTTATGGCCAGTTGGCTTTGTGTGTCTTTGGGCGCCTGCATTCGAATTTTTAAATATAAATGGTTAATGTGCAAGGGACGGACCACCTTCAAGTTGAAGGCCCTCCGATTTTCGAGGGTATTTTGGCCATTCTAGATCGGATCTTTAACGCGTGCACACGGAAGTTCATTGCTAACGATGGCTCGTAAACAAAGTTTTGCGGCCCAACAGCCGTATGGGTGGCAAGCAAAAGTTCCAGGGGCAGAGTCATATAAAAAAAGGGCAATTAACTTGGCTTCGCTACAACAATTAAAGCAATGCAAACACAGCCGCAGATAAAACTTTGTGTTTGCATTCTAATTACAATAAAAAACAAACCCATCTCAAAGTCAACCCAAGTACTTCTAGTTGCCTTGGAAATGAGCCCCGAAGATGTCACGCCTGATTCACCGAACGTGTGCCTAGCGATGGGAAAACAGCCTAGTGCACAAAATAGTATAAAACATGGTTTCAAAAGTATATTATTTACTTAATAACATATTTAACTTTCATTACATTTGTAACCCTATTGTTGAATAAATACCACGTGGCCGAAGCTAATTGCTGCGATAAGTCAATTATGATTATAAATGTATCTTGCAGAATAACATAACAGTTTTGTGGGTATTAACATGAAGATGCTCAAGTACTGATATTTATTGCATTGTTGTTCAAGTGACCAATGTCACGCATATAGATTTGGTCATAAATAAAATGCGTCGAAGGACAAGAACATGCATCGTAATTGAGATGTTTGTTTTTGGCGCTAATGGTTTGAAAGCCCCAGTAATAATCAAATGCATTTGACTAGCAAATTAATTCGCATTGCTCATGGCATTTCAATTGCATTTGTCATTCGGTTGGAGCGTGACCCAAGGGATTGGCTCTGTAATACCATTTCAACCATTATATAATTATTTCGTGTCATATTCGGATATATTTGATGGAAATGAGATTCTATTGCACTTGTTGGCCCAGCAATTAGACTTGTTACCGAGTATGGCTTTTATTCCATACCTTGTATGAAAGGCGATGGTTTGGGCAATGATAGCCGCTCAGCTTTTTGTACAGCGATGTCATTACGGATACGCTGAATTACATTGGATTACCGTGTCATTTCCTATGGACAACACTTTAATAATGAAAATCAACAGCTTATCAGATGAAAAAAAGTCATATAAACAAGAAACTAGAAATAAACTCTAGCTGTTACTAACGCTTTCAATGCTTTAATCTTGCAAATGCAGTGAACCTGTTCTTACCGCTTATTAAGTAATTACATACACATAGTCCATTAATTAAACCTTATTCATCACTTAGAACTTTGAACTTTCCCTGACTAATCGCCAGCTAAAGTCACTGCAATTCTGAGGAACCTATTCAATAATCGCTGTACAACTTTCATTGCCACTTGCCGGTCAGCGAAAGTAAACAATAGAATCATTTTTTCGCCTTTGTTTGGTCAGTGGGAGAAAATGTCTGTGTGAACTTTGAAATCTAAATATTTGGCATAGAAACTGTGTGAGATTTTCTGATGAAAGGCTAGGCTTGTTAGCTCTAAGTGTACAGAGGCAAGGACTCTGTACATAAGAATTACAAACAAAGTATTGTTGAATTCTGTGATTTGTCATTAGTTAGCAGAAAGAAAACTTTTTAGTTTTTTCGTTGCGATTCCAACATTTGACTATGCAGTGAAACCCGAAACCTAAAAACTTGTTCTTAAAGTCTTTTGTAAGCTCATCAATCCATAGGCGCCACAAACGCATGGCCGGCTTTCGAGGTTTTCCATTTCCATTAAAATTCTTTAGGTTTTGCGTAGTTTCTCATCACTGTTTGGGGGACTCACCTGCTCGACCTTCTTGTGTACCATGTTGGGAAAGAGAATCCAGCCGCAGTAGCCGCCCAAGACGGCCAAGCAGACGCCCAAGGCACTGACGATCAGAGACCAGTGGATCATTTTCGCAGATACGATCGATGGTGTGGAGCCTACGGTGTTGGGGCGAGACCCATTTATCGGGTTCCCCTCCCTACTCCCTGCCCTCTACTCTCGATCGAAACGCCGGCAACGGGTATGGTATCTGTTTTTTCTTTGGCTATTTTGTTTTTTTTCTTTTTTCTGATCCAGCGAAGCTTTGACCTACGTCAAGTGAGCGCCGGAGTTGTTGGGGTGTTGATCTGGTGTTGTTGTGGTGCCGAAACAAAGCGCACTATTTATAAGATACCCGTTTTGGGGCT